GCTCAGTGGTTTACGTGCCACTTCACGTGCATCACGAGGGCCTCGCCCTCGATGCCTCCGCCCTCGGCCGACCATGTCACACAAGACATGCAGCGACTGCTTTGAAACTTGAGCAGCGCTCAGTGGTTTACCTGCCACTTCACGTGCATCACATGAGCTTCGCCCTCGATGCCTCCGCCCTCGGCCGACCATGTCACTCGTGACATGCAGCGATTGCTCTGAAACTTGAGCATCGCTTAGTGGTTACGTGCCACTCTACGATCAGCCCGCGAGCCACGCTCGGGACTCCTGTCCAATGCACCGTTGGTGTCTACCAGCTTGGACGTTCCAATGTCTGGTACGTTGACCGTCTCGGTCCAGTGCTCTGGCCAATAGCGCTTTTGCCTTCTCGCAAAGGTGATTTCATGAATCGCCAAAGCTCCACCAGGAGACGCGTGCGTAGCGCCCAAGGTCTTTGACCTCCAATCAATCCATAATTGATGGTGTTACAACTATGCCTTTCATAGAAAGAGATCATACCTTGCATTCGAGTCTATGACATGACAGCAATCCGCGCTATCTAAGTCAAGAAACTCGACTCCGAGGTCCACAGAAATATTCGGGACCGTGACACGCGTCCCCGTCGCTAAGCAAACAATGACGATGCCACTCAACCGCGCTTTCAGCGCCTCAGGGTACAGCTGACTTCCCTCCATCGTGGAGCGTCAAGCATAATTGCCCGACGCCCTAGAATCAATGAGGATCTTCCATGGCTTCTCGAAGCCCTTTACGGTCGCCTCCACTACCAGCAAGCCCAGCTTGCACATATATTCCGGGTTTAAGAGTAAGGATCTCTTTGGGGCTGGGACCTGTTGACCAATGCCTCTCTGAGGCTCAACAGAACTCAGTTTTTCCCCAGTAGGACGCCCCGCGCCTAGCGACGAACCAAACTGGTAGGCGTTGGGGCAGTGTTTCGAAGAACTTTGACGCGCCTTGCGCAGGGGGCAACCGTTCTGAAGGTGACGGTTGTATCCACAGTCAAAACACCGTCGAATGTGTGTATGCTGCCCGGCAGCTCGAAGCTCTGCTCCCCCGTCCTCAGTATAGCTGAGGTCCATGGGCATTGGCCAACTCGACGAGCTGCTGGAGTTTACATTCCAACCAAGTCGTGCCGACTCGAAACTAGATTCGGCATTCAATGCCAATTCCACCGCCTCTTTAAATGAGGATGGATGCATACGGAAGACTTCCATTCTGGCGACGCCAGTGCGGAGGCCTTTCATAAACACGATCACTGTGACCGCCCCCGGAAGAGGATCTGCTGCCACCCCAGCAATGAGAGTTCGCAAATCTTGGACAAAGTCCACCAATTCCTTGTTGCCCTGTCGGGCGGCAAGAAAACGTGATAGCACGCGATACGCCTGATTAGACAGCAAGAGCACTCAAGAGCAGCAGATGCCCTCAAAGACCTTAACGCTCACCATAAGCGGCTTAGGTCGGGGGAAGTCATCCGTCACCGACGGTGGAGTCATAGACGCAAACGATGCAGACATCTTTTGTTGCAGGTGCTCTAGCAGCGGGTTTTCGTAACTCGAAAACGCCTCCAGACGCGCACCGATTGCTCGCGGTCTTGTGCCACAAGGTGTTGCACGTCCTCAGGGACAAGGACATCAGCTTATTAAGCCCGTCCTGCATGCCCTGGGGCAAAGAGGAAAATTCCTCCATCCTCATAGAGGATCAGTCAAAACGACACAGGCGCAGATTGACTATAGTGCAGCCAAGTGCAGCGGGGCTGCCGTAGAATCGCGCTTGAGGAAGCCTCGTTAGGTCACCGACCTTTCGTTTTTCACAAGAGCCAAGTATTAGTGCAGCGGATCGCAATCCGCTGCCTCTAAAAGTGCTTAAAAGCCTTAACCGAGGCAAACGAACACTTCAGTTCAAAATTAGAACAGATTTTTATTTATATTTTTATCCTAATGTTAAAAATTTAGATTTCCTAAATATACTAAATATATATAGTAAAATCTAAATACATGCACAACTACTGGCTACCTAGCCCCGTACCGTAGTCTTGTTTCAATGTGTGGTCACACCATGCACATCTCGTGTGACACTCTTCCCTGTTATCAGGGTTCGTGTAACCCTGTTACACCATTGGTATCAGCCTGTATTAGGATTTAACCTACAGAGAAGTGCGGGCACCATAGACTGATATATAGGTGAAATAGATCTGTGAATTTACACCAGAGAGCAGTAACAACTGCGTCGCCAGAATGCTGAAAGTCGCAGGTATGTCAGCAGTCATTGGGAGATAATCAGTTACTCTTTGAGCAATCTGCTCGCAGCGCTTGCCACAAAAGATGAAATACTAAATCGAGGAGTAATTAGTACTTTATGGTGACAAAGTCGAAAGCGCTACACAATATAGGCCCTACCCTTGCAGTCTCGCAAAACATCTATTCACAACACCGGCATTGTGTCGGATTTATGGATGTAATATAGTATATCCAATGCATGCGCAATCCGCCACCCGCGTTTAGCCATTCCAATACAGAATATAAGCGCCGAGGATGCATTTTATGTCTTGAACAGGGCCCTCTTTGCGTTTCGCATGGAAATAAGTGTCTTTAATATGTCGAATATCGTCTGTTTCTTGGAAGATACAGCACAGTCTTTCCGCTGTATCATGGGTACCGACTTGATAATGTCACCATCTAGGAAGTACGAAGGATATACCCTTCGTCCACACTTGTCACTCCATTCACATTGTTGCTGCCACAAACCGGTCATCAATAGTTTGCATCCGGTCATGTCACTTATTGTTTTTATCTTGGCTTCATGGCACACCGCGGAAAGGATAAGAACAACCCTTCTTTGAAATAGTCAGAACTTGACCCCACTTCTCATGCAACCTCCGGTTGCCTGTTTCCATCGAGATCCGCCTGGAGACCGCGACTATAGGAGCCTTATCCCGTCCCACTAATTTTAGCATCTGGGAGTCCAGCTCAAATCTATTAAACGTGGAAAACGCGATACTGAATCGCCCTTTTACAGAAACAACTCCCAAGGAGTTCAGCAATTTGTTTCTTGTCTGGGTATCCCTACAGGCTGTGAAGTACGCCTGGATACCCTTTTGTTAGAGACGAGCCTTGGAGACAGCGACTTACGGTCGCTTACTTACGTATCAGCGGAAATGGACTTAAAAATTTGCTGCCGTTTCCTTCTGATATTATTTGAACTTTCAGCAATATTACTACCAATCATTTCGGACACCACCATGTCTTACACAAGAGTTATCAAACCTTCGTGTCCGCGCCATAAGCGTATCGCATCTTCTTATAGCGAAAGTGAGTTCATGACTCACCAAATTTCTGCAGGAAGATAAATACGGTGCAACTTTTGACTACAAGTCAATCTACGGTCCGTAGTGTTTCAGTCAGAACGAAATCGTATCTCAAATCAGGATCTTTGGCTTTACAAAATTCCAATCGATCAAGTCTTCAAGAAGTATTTTAAGCCTCCAAGAACCCTCGACACCATCATGAGTATCCCAAAAAGTTTAACAGCCGAATAGCTAGTAAGCATCAACTAAAAACTGGCTCTGTGTGTTCATGTCGCTTCTGATGAAGAGATGCAAAATATTGACCTCCTGGGTTGAGCTGATTGGCAGACTTCTGTCGAGTCCCAGATAGCCGCCCTGCGCTTCTGGGTAAGAATGAGGCCTCATATTCTCTTCATGTGTAAATCTCGCATCTCCCGCACCCCATCTGCAACGGGATTGTCTAGCACTAAGGATATTTTGACCCTATGAATTTACGTCAACAAACACACAAAAGTTTTGCCCGTTCCACCAAGATGCAAAATAGCAATCATTCCAATAATTTGATTCTATGCACTGCCTAGTGTAGGGCTGGCACCTTCTTGCCCCACGAACCTGCACTGTATGGAGTTAGATTACTATCACCCGAACGAGAGCTAATCCTAATAATTTGTCATGATTTAGTACGTCTGAACCTTTCTCCATGTCTGAGTGACAAAACTGACAATTGAACCACGAGTCGAAATTACGTCGTCACACCATCTCAAACACAAAAAGTGGACACATTAGAGCCACACTCATTTGTGTTCTGAAAACATCGCATTGTATGAGTGCTTCGGTTGCACCCATTGCGCCAGAATTTATTTTCCGTCCATTGCACCCGACAGCGCCTGCCCTTACAAATGAAATCCACATTTGGGACTTCTTTCTACCGAACGACATGGCTTAACGAACCACTGAAAACGGTTCTTCAAGTGCATCTCATGGTCAAAAGTTGTAAAGCTGCTGTTTGGAGATGAGCGAAGCTATTAGCAGAGTTTCAAATTTACTCTTACAGACTGCCAAAACTATGCCGGGACCGGCAGGGTAAAAAAAACGTCGAGGAATGCAGAGAAGGTATAACCTGCTGTACCAATTTGCACGTGCGCTTAAGATAATGCCCACTTATACATGTTGGACCAACATTACATAGTGCTTACTACGTCAAACGGTTTTTGCCTCTGATATGTCTGGTTTAATTGTTTCATATACTTTGTAAAGTATTCTGTCTGTAAAGTTCGCATTATGACGTACTCCACAGCGTAATGGTAAGTGGGTAGGTGATGCAATAATGCAAGTCTTGAGATAAGAAATAGTAGCACGAGCGCGTAATAAAATGATTTGTATTAGTATATTTAATCGGCATCCGAGCTAACAAACCACCTCTTTACAAAAGCTACCGCAATGCAACACATGATGTATCTAACCTATACACTACAGGTGTCGCCTCATCAATCGGTCACGTTACCATGATGATACGCGACAGTTCATTGACGAAGCAGCACAAAAGCGCATCCGCCACAACATAAAGCTAATCCAGCTTGAAACGTTTAGTTAAGGTATAGTAAGCAATGCAGGTGAATTATCTTAACATTTTCTGCAAAAGAAATATGAAGCGAGGCATGATCTGTGTCGATCACAAACGACATAGAGCCAAGCAATTGTGAACGCCCCGGTCCAGCGCCCGCGCCAAAAGCGCTTCAGCTTCCTAGTAGAGGTGGGTTCATGACCCACTAAAGCTCCATTAGGAGACGTGCACGTAGCGACCAAGGTCTTCGACCTCCAATCAATCAATGGCTCATGGTGTTACAACCATGCCATACCAAGGAAAATATCATACCTTGAATCCAAGTCTAAGACTGGACAGCGTTCCATGCTATCAAAGTCAAGGAACTTGACATCGAGGTCCACACAGACCCTCGGCACAGTGACACAAATCCCCGTCGCTAAGCGAACAGTTACGGTGTCACTTAACCGCGCTTCCTGTGCCCCAGCATACAGCTGACTTCCTTCAATCGTGGAAAATTGCGCAAAGCCTCGGAGTCGATCAGGATGTTCTATGGCTTCTCAAAGCCCTTCACGATCGCTTTTACGACCAGCAAGACCGGCTAGCATTCACGTTCCGTGTTCAAGAGCACAGAGTACTTTAGGGCTGGACCCTGCTACCCTCTACCTGATTAAGGCTCAGCAGAACTCAGTTCTTACCCATTAGGGCGCCTCGCACCTACTGGGCTTTCTCGTTTCCCCGCAACAAACCAGACTGGTGAGAATCGGGACGTCGGTTTGATGAATCTTCACGCGTCTTGCGCAGGGGACAACCATTACGAAGATGAGAGGTGTCTCCACAGACGAAACACGTCGGGTGTTCGTTAGCTGCTCGGCAGCTCGGAGCTCTGCATCCCCGCTCTCAGTATAGCTGAGCTCAATCGGCTCAGGCCCGCTCGACAAGCTGCTGGAGTGTGGATTCTAACCAAGGCGTGCCGACTTATAGTTGAATTCGGCATTCACTGCTACATTACCTGCTTCAGTAAAAGAAGACGAGTACACACGGAAGACTTCCATTCTGGTAACACCAGTGCGGAAGCATAAAGACGTTCATCGCGACCGCCTCGAGGAGAGGATCTGCTGCCATCACGGCAATAAAAGCAACTCTTGGACAAAGTCCACCAACACCTTCTTGCCCTGTCGGGCGGCAAGGAATGCAATTGCACGCGATATGCCTAATTAGGCGGCGAGAACACTCACAGAAGCTGACGCTCCAGCTTCTTCTAGGAGACGAATGAAGCTTCAACGAAGCACCACACTATAGTTCCCATTCTCGCGCTTGGTACCCGAGCTTAGTGGTAGCTAGCGCCATGCGCTGGTGCACGTTTTGGAGCATGTCGGATGCCATAGCCATCTCAGCCTCTCTTATCCAGAGCAGGAAACTCTCTTCATCCTAACTCTCGGAGGTCATAACACTCACCACGAGCGGCCTGGGTCTGAAGGGATCATCCGACGTCGATGGTGGCATCATAGACGCAGTCGACGCTGACAGCTTCTGTTGTAAGTGCTCTAACAGAGCATTTTTATAGTTTGAAAAAGCAAATATACGCGCGCTTATGGCCTCGGGCCCTTGCGCAACGAGGAGCTCCACGCCCCAGGGCCCAGCAGGGACATCAGCATATTAAGCCCGTCCTGTATGCCCTAGGGCAAATAGAAGTATTTCTCCATCCTCACAAAGAATTAGTCGTAACGACTTAGGCGTAGACTGACTACGAGAGCTACCAAGTAGTGCGGGGCTGTCGTAGATTTCTGCTTGGAGGAAGCTAAGCTAAGGTCACCGACCTTATGTTCTTTTCAAGAACTGATACTAGTGTAGCGGATGCAATCCGCTACTTGTAAGTATTAAAGCCTTACGAGGCAAACGAACATTTTTGTTCAGAAACGAAACTGTACGTGATTGTTTTAGTTGCGTTAGAGCCGTCAATATCTAAAAATAAGTTTAACTAATTTGCACAGTAATACCTAAAAAATATAGCAAATCTTATTTAATATAGTAAGATGCTTTACTAATACTGGCAATCCTGCCGCGTGGTGGCTTCTTGTTACGTTGTAGCCACACCACTGTGCTATTTCACTAACTGTGTAATACATACCTATGTACGGTCGCACTATCCCGTGTGAACCGCCCTTTTTTACAAAGGTACGCGTAAACCTGATACATTATTAGAGCATTGTTTACACAATTGAGCAATGCGACCATACCTGCCTAGACTTGGGTACCGCGCAAGGATATGATCTTTGATGAAACGGTTGTCAGTACTGTATTTTGTGCGATCGATCCGAAAGACGGTTTCTATCTGATACGAATGCGCAAAAAGGATACACCACTAGCTGCAGTCAGAACATCAGTGGTATGCTATGGGGAGGGTTAGTAGTGATGCCACAAGGTTTGAAGAACGCTCACGCGACTTTCAACAGAACGACGACGAATCTTATTTGTCCATTGAGAAAATTTGCACCGAGTCAAGTTGACGATATTCTAATTTGTAGCAGAAAAAACGTTTAAGAAGTATGACGCCGCTGTTCATCCTTATGATCTTCGATAGGTCTTCCAAGTTATGCAAAAAGATAAACTCTTCGCTAACCTGAAAAACTGCATTTTCTTTGCATCTGAGGTTCCTGTTCTCTGCTGCTTTGTGGGCAAGAATAGCGTTCGTGTAGATCCAGGGAAACTCGAATCTATCAATGATTGGCCTGTGCTAAACAATATGAAACAGCTGAGTCAATGGTAACCTTGGCCAGCTATTTGTACAAATATACGCGTAATTATGCAGCGCTGGTGCAAACCTTAACGATTACTTTAATGACGTACCTTGAGTGGGAATGGTCAGAAGATCACCAGGCGGTATCTGCCAAAGTAAAGAAGAGCTTGAGAGAAGCTCCTGTCCTTGCGGTTGCAAACCACGATAAGCCTTTGTATGTGGTCTGCGATGCAAGTGATCATGCCATCGGTTATGCGTTGATGCAACACAATGGTGAGGGTCGAGAGCGAGCTGTTTCGTATCAGTCGCGTCAACTCCGGCCCACAGAGCGGAAGTATCTAGATCATGATAAAGACATTATAGCAATAAATATTTGATTTGACTACGTTTCAATTGTACTTCCTTCAAAAGAAGTGCTTTGCGATCTATACATATCATGCCGCGGTGCGTACGGCAGTAAAGACCACTCATCTATCGCAAAGAATGAATTGGTGCTTCTTCATCTCTGCGGGACACAACTTTGTTGTACACTCCAAGCCAGGTAAGACAAACATTTAGGTCGATGCGTTGTCAAGATGTCTGGATTATGACTCAATGTCCAGGAGCGAAAACATGCACGGATCATGTCGACAGCGCGGAAAAGTTCAGACGAACCTACGACTACAGTGCGCGGATAAAAAGTCAGACACTACAAGTCTGATAAGACATGCCAAGACTTTTTAAGTATTTAAAGGACCCTTCCGACAAAGCACTGCAAGGTCTACCGTCTCGCACAAGATCGCGTGTTGACCGTTTTATAGTACACAATGGATTGTTCTAATATGCGGATGAACACGGGGATGCGTCAGGGGGGTTTGTTCCTCATGACGAAAGTTTGTGTCATCGTCTCTTTATAAGTGCTATAACTGCCCTTCAGGTGGTCATCTTAGACGTGGAAAACGTTTCTCGGTCTTCCCCGGGAATTACTAATGGCCACACATGAAAAGTGGGTGCACGAACAAGTTCGAGCCTGCATAATTTGCCAGAGAGTGAGACCATCGGGTTCCACTCAGGCCCCATTCAATCGTTGGTAGTGTAACTGATAGCTGGAAGTCTGTGAGTATCGACTTCATATTCAAACTCCTGCGTGACACGAATGGACACAATGAAACCGTCGCGTTTGTGGACCGAAAAAGCAATATGGTTCATCTTGCGCCTGCTTCGTGTAAGTTCTCTGCCGAGAAAACACTTAAGATATTCGTAGATGTTGATTTCCGTCTCTACGGCCTTACTGTTGAGTTCGTGTCGGACCGTGACACCCATTTCACATCGAAGCTTCTGAGTACACTGTTTGGACTGCTGGGCACCAAATTGTCCATGTCAACAGCGCTAGACCCTGAAACGGACGGTCAAACAGAACCTGTGAATCAGGTTCTAGCGAAAGTGCTGCGCAGCTACGCTTCGTCGTTCAAAGAGTGAAGTGAATTGTTCCCTCTCGTTGAGCTTTCGCTCGACAACTTCACACATGTTTCGACAGGTCATTCGCCATTTGATGTGAACGATGGTGTTCATCCTAGAGTGCCTGCTTCCATAAAAAACAATTTGAGTGGGGGGAACTATGGCTATGGCCCCACAGTCAGAGCTTCGTGTCTCCAAATGGAGGAAACGTCAAAGGGTTTTGGAACCGCTTTTTGCCGTGTGGACAAAGACCGCTCTTTAATGCTGGCTTGTTCACTTGATCGCTTCATGAATGATCAGAAAGTGGACTGCTCCAATATGTTTCAAAAGAATCAATGTACTTTTGACTTCAAAGAGGGATGATATCAAGAATTACACTTAACCATAACAGTATGGTACATCCATGCACTTTCTGAATGCATCGTAAGAATTATTTAGAAAATAGCTCACAGTATGGTGTTCTTAAATGCATACATGACATCTTATATGAAGTCACAAACATTCTGTGCGATATGAAAATACTGGTTCCTACTTGGGGTTCTGTACTGGCGACGAGACCGACGTGTCTCTGTTTTTCGAAGTGGGTGGCGTAAGCCAGTCACTTCTGGTAGATTTCCTCACGGAAGTTGAAGCTCAAGCTTTTCGGAGAGTAAGCTCCGTACACCGAAGATCTTGTATAAGTTCAAGCTGAGGCTCAACTTCAGTGCGCCCTTAATTTTACAACCTAGAAAAGTAAGCTTTTGTTACTGAAACCTCTGAAAGTCCTTGGGTGTATTGCATTTAGATAGGAACCATGAATTCATCTCACATCAGTTTATTACCTTCAAGATCCCAAGTCGCTTCTTCTTTCCTCCAAGTTGGAACTGTCCTATCTCCCCAACGTCCGAACTCGTATCCTCGTCGCACAAGCGTGCGTGTTGTGTTTGAGGGACTGTTGTGAACAGCGCCCTCTTACACACAAAGGTTAGGCTCGTACGCTTTATCCAGGAGCGTCTCTAAGGTATCCAGTTATCTAGTTTGTTGCGGCTGTTTCAAAAGTGATAATACAAGTCTAAAGAAATATTTCTGTTGAGCATATCCAATAATTCTTAGTTGCCTGACGACACGGACCTCTCCTTTACAAAGTCCCATCATCTTCATCATTACCGATACTTCATTACTTCTGTATATTACATTTAATGTGAAGCTCAGAGATAGTTGTACTGATGAGGAATGGGACGCTTTCAAGGAGAAGTCGATGTGGACATGTGGGGTATGTGCGGTACGATGACGGACGTACACTTTACCCAGCTGTTTGTAGAGAGACCTAAGTCCAACTTTCAAGTTCGTACTAAATTCCAGTAATCAACGTTTGTAATGTTGGAAGTCCGCTGATTAACTCAGTGCTTGAAGCACTTGCTATGCTTAGGTAAACACATTCTTACAAAAATATATACACCGGAGGTTGTGACCTACTGTTCTATGTTTAAGGGCTACGTACAACTTTCATATTGTCAGTTTGTGAGCGTATCTAAGCGTAAATTTGCCCCACGTGGTGGAACGGTTTGCATGCAAAGCATGAAATCCAAGAATAACTGGAGATGGGACAAACAAATCAACAGTTTTTAGGAAGAATCACGATTTTTTATCGATATCCTTTTGGAACGAAGCACCGATGGTGTCATTTATCAAATGAGTCAGTTGCGCATATGTGCGGCAACTTGCATTCAACTAAAAATTGCATTTTTTGTTGGCCCAGTTAATCAGTCACCCGCTCAAAGAGCAAACGCATACTGAAGTCAGGAGCAAATTTCTTATGTCCTTGGTTAGCATCTTTAGCGACTTTGTCAATTTCGATCTTTGTCAACTCCAACTCATAGTGGTCGTCCACTTGTGGAACAAACGCCGTGTGGAACCAAAAGTGGCCCAAAGCGCTCCCATTTCGCCGCCGAAGTTCCACCATAATCTCATCCCAAACGAGCACTCGAGAACACTGCATTTTCAATTCCACAACCTCTTCCTTATCTTCACCGTGAAACTTGGAGCGTATTTGACGCTGAAAGGTTCCAGCTAGATCAAAAGACGTAGCGCGGGGCCGAATAGCACCGCATTCGACCCGAACTCGCCAATCAGCGGCACTAGATCTTGTTCTTTTGTGATCAGTAACTCCACACAAAACGACTGCGACAAGCACAAGCTTTACACGCACAGGCAACATGGGTTTGGCATGCGGCCGCTCTATCAGTCTTATATTTTCTCGTGAAGAGAATCTCTCTGAATCTTCTTGAATCTGCTTTAACCAATACGCATGATAATCTACCACCGACATTGCTCGCTCGCGATGTTCTTCTTCCTCGTACGACCCAAGCTGTTCAGCGTCATTAGCACTTTCAGAACGACGGCACAGCTCGCTGAAATAACCAATGAATCGCCTCTGGCTTATAATTGTCACGCCTTGCAGCTTCATTGAGCGGGCTGCTGCAAAGTACTCGAGTGCTCCGGATGCGGACCGCCATATCCTAGCGTACAGCATGTAAGCGCACAACATCACTCCTGTTCGACCTTTACCAGCTTTGCAGTGCACAGCCACTATATTTTCGGGATTCGATTGTAACCATGAGTGCACGTCTTGACAAAACAGGATGAGTAATGACAATGGGGGTGGGCAGTGGTCTTCAAAGCCAAACTCAGCTACACGACCATGAAATTTATCAACCGATGCATAGCGACGCTCAGCGCAAAGATTGTAGACACGATAGCGTCCAGGATGACGCTGTTCGAAAAAACGAAAGACATCACGATAGTGATTCCGATAAATGCCCTCAATCAATTCCGCAGGGTAACCCAGTGCCACAAGTCGCCGAGTAATATAGGTCAAGTCCAAGTCGAAGCCATTAGAGAAATACCGACGTTTTTCCTTTGACACCAAATGTTTCAGATGAAATGTTAGTGCATTCGTGTACCGTCTCGATGAAGTTAGGCTCGACGAAGGCGAAGAAGACATAGGGAAAACTCGCTCAGCGTCAAGTTGGGCATCGACTTTAAGAGTTGGTCCAGCTTTTGAGGAGGTAGATATAGCCCGAGGTGGAGACGGTAGCGGTGATTGAAAGTCGAGAGCACAATCATCTGGCCCCCATGCCCTTATTGGTGTTGTGCCTAAATTTACCAATACAGTCCCTAATTGATCCGAAACTGCAGATGTACGATCCTTCTCTTTATCAATACCATTCGCTCTAACGAGTTTTATTTTCGGAATTGATAGCATTCGCTGCATTGTGCGTGGCCTGACTTGCTTTCTGCAGTCGAATAGCGGCCACAAAAGTGAGCTCGTCACTAGAAGCGCAAACTTTGGATTTTCTTAACCGAGCCCGGCAGACGCCACAATGCTTGGAGTGGTCGTCTATTTCAAGAAATAAATTTGAAACCAATGAAAGGCTGATCGTTGTTACGCTACCATGATCCTCCCCTACTTGATCAAATACTTATCATAACGCTATATGGAGATCTCAGGATTTACAATGTCGAGTGAAGGTGATTCGTAGTTGGTGTAAATGGCATACTGATAAACAAGATGCGGGATAGATGGTTTGAAAGTTCGCAAGCGGCAGCCTAACAAATTATATATCACTGTCGCATTCTCTTCTACAAAACAGACGGATGAGTCGAACAGCCAGGCTTTCACGTAAAATTAAGTTTACCAATTGTAGTAAGGAGGACTTTGCTGTTTTTTGAGCGCAAAAGCAGCTTGATGGTTTTTGCATAGAGTTCCCAGACTTCATGAGTGACAAAAGGAGGGTCTACTATGACAAAATCAAAAGTGCCTGCAAGCTTTTCCGGCACATTCTCGGGCTTCTTAAAGTCGAATGGAACGAAGAATCTACCTTCTGGCGCAAATTTGGAATCAAACTGGAAAGAAACGCTTAGTAATGCTTCTTCTAGAAATGATGTTCTGTTATAAATACCCACGCACATCAAAGAGAAAGCACTCGCGCGTAGTGAGGTCATCTCTTTGCTGATTCCGACAAGCAAAGTAGACGCTCGGAGTCGACAGGAAAGCAATTCGGCCACTTTGTTCTGGCGTCTCTTCGATAGCTTCCTTAGCAAGTGCAGCCACCGTATCCGCCGAGTACCAATATTGATTCAATTCCTCTTTCTGCAAAGCCATAAAGTCGAATACGCAAAACAAAAGCAACTAAAAGCCGAGCTCACCTCGGGAAATCTTTGCCAGAACGTGCGCGGATCAGCCTCGTGGATCAAAGTGCGTCTCATATCTAGTTAAAAATATATCTGAAAAATACAATTTTGGTTATCAATGATATACTTTAGCAGTACAAACTTTATTTCTTAGTTTTACGTCTATAAAATACACTCCTAATTTGAAGCTATATTGTATAACACGCGTCAAGTAAACTTGCTACTTGACCAATCCTACATGAAAATGCTCGCCAAGCAGAGTGCTTGATTTTTTTTTTTAATAGAAATTTCCGATGATGGTGAATTTGATTCCGAAATCGTGCTTTCGTCGCTACTTCGTAACTTGCAGAGTGAACGTTCAAGCGAAATGGTGCGGATGAGCTCTTCTGCCTCGAATGGTTTGCATTTGAGCACACTTTCCACCAACGCTCGCTCAAGACGTTGATACGACGAGTTTGTCTCACATCCGCCTACGCACGCACACGTACCGCCGTATGCCACCGGCAAATTTTCAGCGTCAATGAATTCCAGTAATGATGCTGCGGTCTCACTCTCAGTCAAAATATTAGTCTTTGCACGAGTGGCTTCGTTTAGTAGGGGTTTCACGCCCTTCCACGCTATGCTAAACCACGATGACACATTCACGATAAAAATTTTGAGTGAACGCTGTGGGTAGTGACGCTGCATGATACTTGTGCATCGACGAAAGAAGTCGAGAGCCTCGCCACCCATGTCACGCATTCCGATACCTTTTGCATCTAGTATAATGCACAGTTTTTGTGTGGCACTTGCAGCGCAGGCATCACACGAACAGACCTGGTGCGCTGCGTACTTTAGTGTGAACTCCATAGCAAACAGATAGTGATTGATCAGCGTCTCTTGCGTGATACCAAGCTTTTTGAATTGCCGCATATTAATAGAGCCAATCTTTTCAATGTAAAGAGGGTGGCCGAGTTTGTCTTGCTTGTGAAGATATTGCACGTAGTGTCTGCAACAGCAATCGAGTAAATCAAACGTGATCAACTCATACAAAATGGGTGAGGTAAATGGCCAAACGTTTTAATAGTGTCGTAGTGTGTCTGAGGCCTCATTAAAATCTCCTCGACTTGCATCTGCTTCCTCCACGCCTTCGTGGCTTGGTAGCGCTTCACCGCCCGGGCAATGTCTCCATTCTCTGCCACCGCAAACGCCGGAGGGATCTCTGTTACCTGATTAATTGCAGCATCAACTTTGTCAATCCGACTTGAAAACGAAAGTCTCTGAACGAAATGAATATGAGCAGGTATTTATGAGTCGCGTTTGAAACAATTGCAACAAACCTCGGGCCATAATAAGAACCTACGATGCTCGTGCTGCAGCAAATTGTCTTGAGTCATTTTGCACAAATGGAGCCAATACAAGAATGGTGCTTTCAGACAAAAAAACTCGCAAAAAAGAGCCGAGTAAGTTTTCTACATCTCACACTCATACGCCACAATCTATGATCGTCCACATGGCTCTTGTCTTTTAGCTGCGTCGCTGCTTGAGAGCTATTGGACTGGCTTCTTGCATGGCAAAAAGTGACATGATAGGCTAGCGGTAGCACGTCAAATTTTAAGTTTAAAATGCGGCCACCCAATTATTCGGTTTTTTGCTGTCGGAGCGTAAAGTAGCAGTCAGTGCCCACAGTCAGCCATCAGTGGTATGACATTCTCAAAGATATGTTTCTGCTTCAGCGCCTACTGCACGAGCGTTTCATGTGTATATAAAATATTCAGATCGTGTCTTGGCAAAGCGCAAGAACTGGTGCAAAATAAAAAGTCAGCGGTGTCAAATGGGATGAAATGTTTGTTCCGCAGTGAGCACTTCAGCAGTTAACCTGCTTTCAGCGATTTTTCGTTTGAATAACCATAACGGATGAAGTGACCAGAGCCTTCACCATCTCCGCCGTCATTTAGAGATTATCATCACTGCTTCTGAAGTGATGATTCGCATTACATGTCTTCTGGTTTGAAGGTACTAACTATCACAGGTGGTGAATGTGAAGCAATTCAAAATAACACTCCTTCACACCAAGTAACCAGATCGCTCACCAGGAATCTGTTAAAGGAAAATCATGTGATAAAATATTTTGCGCTCGTCACCAGCACCTGCTATAGTAATTGGTACAATACTTTACTTTCACATGCACCTACGTATGCACATGCCCTACCGGCAGGTTTCAGCATCAATAGACTCCAGCAAGACTGCATGGTTTCACAGTCAAAATCACGGCTGACTTCGTCAGATAGCAACATCACGTCCATCCAAACCACACTAAACAACGATTGTACATGAAGATAAAGATGGTATGTAAATGCGGTGGGGAATGACGGTGCATATTCTCGTTTACCGAAGCCTCCCATCTCTCACGTTCTGATTCCCTTCGTGTCCAGAATAATGCACAACTTAAGCGTGGCAATTGCAGCTCAGGCATTGCACGAAAAATATGGTTCGCTACGTACTTGAGCTTGATTTAAAAGCGAATCAATAGTGATTGAACAGCGTATGCTATGATTCGTCCGAATTCTCTAGTTGCAAATGTTGAAAGAGCCGTTCTTCTCGATTTAAGAGGCACATCCGATTTATCGAATAAATTGCGTCTTATCTTTGAGAGAATGGCGACCATTTGGTCAAGAAGGAACAGCGTAGTCCATAACATCAACGTATGCTTTGTTGTTGCTCATACATGCGGTATGGACGAAATGGAATCCGTCATCACCTCTTTACTCGAAGCCAGCGTCGCTTTATTTCCTTGATTGCAACTCCATTTCTCAGCGATAAAATGCCGAAGGCAGATTCGTTGACTTTATTTGTTGTAGGGTATTACCCGGTTTTTTCAATAGCTCAAACGAATACCGAACCTCCAGTGTCACAACCCTCAAAGTTCCAATTGCCAACCAGCTGACGTACGTGCTCGTCGTTCGTCGTTTGAATCTGCCGCTCCCAATAAGTCAGGAAAATAAATGCTGCTAGTAAAAAATGACAGCTTCACTGTGTAAATGACAGGAAATATGGCCGCTAATTCGAATACAGCCTGAGAGTGATGCTCAAAGTACTGAGCTTACCAACGAATGGATGGTCATTTGACCTGGGACCAGGGGTACCTGGTTCGATCTCCATTAAATCCAAAGCAAGGCAGCCGAAGATAGATCACGAAAATGGACAAGCAATCACACTATTGATGCAGCGGGCCTGCCGTAACTCTTTGCTTAGAGGACGCTTACTAAGGTCACCAACCCTACGTTACCAATACGAGTGTAGTGGATCGCAGTCCGCTATCTCCAAGATACCAGAAACCTTAACCAAGGCAAACAAACTCTTCCGTTCATAAATAAAACTGTATTTATCAGTTTTTTTTGCGGCAGAGCCGCCTGTATCTAACATTTTAGGTTTCCCTCCTTAGATAGTAAAACGCATAACTACTGGCAAACCTGTCACGTAGTGGCTTCTTGTTACGGTGTAGTCATACCATTGTCTGATTACACCGACTTGTGTAGCCCACACCTTTGTACGGCCACATCATCTTGTGTGACCCACGCTACCATACATGAGTACGTGTAACCCCGTTACACTCTTCCCCATTGAAATTGTGAATACCCACAATTCACATTTAACTGTCACCTCAAACGAGGCTCGCGAGTCTAAAACACCGTTACGTCCCTAAAACCATCTTTACACATTCTACGCTCAATGAGCATCGTGTCTAGGATACGATAAACACCCAGCCAAGCTTGTTCTGATGACAGAGCCCTTCATCGTCTTCTGCACGCGTTGCATCTCCGGACAGTACGTTCGCGGCTTCACGGAAAGCACATCCCAAACCTTCTAATTGAGCGCCACCCACCGCGCCCACCACGGTCGACGGGTTTTCTCGTCGAGGATTTAGAGGAAGTCCATTCCCTCGCGTATGCGGCGCGGATCAAAAGCGTCACTGACGACGTCACCGTCGTGACATGGGCAAGCTCATAGTCCGGTCTGCGTAACAACGCGTCGGCCAAAGCATTCTGCTTTCCTGGCTTATACCTCACCTCGAAGTAATTTTCTGCAAAGAATAAAAGCCATCTGGTCATCCTCTGCGAGAGGTGAGGCGATTGAGTCGCAGTGCCCAAGGACGCGCGTGTAGATCACAAATGGCTTTGAGCCCAGCAAGGGCACCCTGAACTTGACAAGTGCAAACTACATCGCAGGTAATTCCTTGTCGTGGATTCGTAAGTTCTTCTCCGCAGCCTTAAGCTGGCGAGATTTGAACGCGATCATCCGATCTCGCATCTCGGGGTGTGCTTGCAGCAGTGCACAGTCGATGGAAAAGTTCGAAGCGTCACAGACGACACTAAAAAGACGATCGACGTTTGGCAACGCCAGTATTGTTGCATCAAGGAGGCTGTCTTTGACCTTATCAAAAGCCCTCCGACGCTCGTTTCCCAATACCATTCGATATTCTTCTTAAGGAGGTTCGACATTAGTCGTGCCATTCCCGCATTATTTGCGCAATACTTGTGCGAATAGATGGCGAGGCCAAGCCACTTGCGCAAGTCCTTTTGGTTCTTTGGAATCGACCAGTCCACAATGGCCTTGACCTTAGCGGGATCCGCTTGCTCGTAGGTCACGCTTCCTTATAGGAGAATATCGCCCGCGCCGAAGATGCACTTATCTGCATTAGCATACGGCTTATTCGTGCGCATGCACTCAAGAAATGCTCTCAAATGAACGATATGGTTTTCCTCATCTGCGCATTCGAGCCCCACACGACTGTGGACGAAGATGGCATCGAAGTATGTTTGTGCATATGCCCGATGGGGCCTGAACAACTGCGTTACAAGACGATTGGATGTTGCTGGTGCATAAGACAGCCCTTGGGCATCACTATCCACTCCCATAGCATCCCGCTCGGAGTACTCACCACTGTCAGTGGAATATCACTCGCTCCCATGAACAATTGGTAGTATTCATTTATCAAATCGAGTGCACTGTATTTCGTATATCCCACCATGTTTATCTAAAAAACATCCTTTCTAGGAATTGACGTTTGTGCCGGAATGGTGGCAGCGTTGAGCTTATTGTAAGCGTGAACGATACGCCATTTGCCTTTCGGCTTCCGGACACAAAACCTGTGTGTCGAATGGGGAGACTTGCTCTCACACACCATTCCCGCATCTTGCTTCGCAGGGCGTCAATGACGTCACATTGCTCCTTGGACCAGGGTCATTGGCGTGTTACATAGTATTTGGTTCCCGGAATCAGGTCAATCTCATGACGCACACCTCGACCAGAGGTAGGACCGACGGCGGGTCTTTGTGGACAACGTCTTGAAATTCCTATACTAAAGGATAGTACGGATCCGAGGGATCCTTCAGGATCGACGATCCACTTTGTGCGTTCATCAATCTCTTGGTGTCCTCCTTAACAGCCTTATCCAGAAGCGACGAGGAATTTATCTCTTCGCTCGGTCTTTTAATGATCACCTCGGTTAAATCGCCTGCCTTCAAGGCACTGATAAACCCTTCGAAGGGTATCTCGCCCAGCTCAAGACGAGCATCCACCGCGGGAAAAGCCTCGAGGGGGACATCGCCGTCTTCCTCCCCATCACACCGTTACAGGGGTGTATAGCTGTGCGCTATCGTCTACGGTAGACACAACCTGGGTCAGGGTCGACGCCCTGGGTCTTGCAAAAACAATACGGCATTGCCGTCACCTCACGATTGATGTTTTACGTCTCGGTGAGACGAGTGAGAAAATGCGATCAGCGTCGTCCCGTGTCCCCACTCCCTTCTCCATCGGAGCCTTGATATTATTAATTTCATCCGACGAAGAGCTGCTATTTCCGCAAACTTCACAGTTTGGATACCGTGCCACTCCAAGTTCAGCCCGCGAGGCATACTCCGGACCTTTGTTCAATACACCTTCGGTGTTCGACGCTTGGATGCTCCGATATCCAGTACATTGACCAGTGCCCGCGCTAATAGCGCTTCTGCTTCCTAGCAAAGGTGGGTTCATGACTCACAAAAGTTTCATCAAGAGACGTGCTCGTAGCGCCTAAGGTCTTAGACCTCCAATCAACCCATGGCTCATCGTGTTCCAACCATGTCCTACCAAGGATAAGGTCATATCTTGAATACAAGTCAAAAACTAGGCAAGGTTTCACGCTATCGAAGTAAAGAAACTTGCCTCTGAGGCCCACAGGGACCTTCGGCACAGTGACACAAGTCCCCGTCGCTAAGCAAACAGTGACGGTATCACTCAACCGCGCACTCAGCGCGTCAGCGTACAGATGACTTACTTCTATTGTGAAGCGTCGAGCATAGTTGCCTGACTCCACGGGGTCGATTAGAATCTTCTATGGCTTCTCAAAGCCCTTCACAGTCGCTTTTACGACCAGGAAGCTCGGCTTGCATACACATTGCGTTTTCAAGAGCTCGGAGCTCTTCGGGGCTGGACTTTGCTGATCTCTACTGCTTTGACGCTCAGCAAAACTCAGTTCTCCCCCAGTGGGGCGCCCCGCGCCTACTGGTTGTCTCGTTTCCCCGCGTCAAACCAGACTGGATTGAAGCGGAACGTCGCTTCGACAAACCTTTACGCGCCTTATGTAGGGGGAAACCAGTCCGAAGGTGAAGGGTGTATTCACAGACAGAACACTGTCGGATATTTCAGCGCTGATCGGCACCCCGGAGCTCTACCTCCTCTTTCTCATCAGAGCTGATATCTATGGACTCAGTCCCGCTCGACGAGCTCTGTGGGTGTGAATTTCAACCAAGTCGTGCCGACTCAAAGTTGAATTTGGCCTCCAATGCCACGTTCACCACTTTTTCAAAAGAAGACGGATGCACTGAGAGCATCATGATGTGCGGCCTGGGTCGGGAGGAGTCATCCTTCTTCGGCGGTGGCGTCATGGACGCAGTCGACGCCGACAGCTTCTGCTGTAGGTGCTCTAGCAGAGCATTTTTATAGCTCGAACACGCCTCTAGGTGCGCGTTTTTGCTTTGGTCCCTTGCGAAACAAGGTTTTCCACGTCCTCAGGGCTCAGCAGAGGCAAATTGGAGTGTTGCTCCATCCTCACAGAGGATCAGTCTTAATGACTCAGGCGTAGATTGACAACGAGTGCTTCCAAGTGCTGCGGGGCTGCCGTAGCTCTTTGCTTAGAGGAAGCTTACTAAGGTCACCAACCTTACGTTCTATACCAGAACCAGTACGAGTGTGGAGGATCGCAATCCGCTACCTCCAAGAGTACCAAAAACCTTAACCAAGGCAAATGAACTATTCCGTTCAGAATTGAACCCGTATTTATCTGTTTATATGCGGCAGAGCCGCCTATTTTATGACCTTAGGTTTTCCTCATTAGATAGTAAAACCGAATTAATATGCCCACTACTGGCAGTCCCACCACGTAGAGGCTTCTTGTTACGGTGTAATTACATTTCTGTGTGATTACACCGACTTGTGTAATCCACACCTCTGTACGGTCACACTCATCTTATGTAACCCACCCTTTCATACTAGGGTACGTGTAATCCCGCTCAAATAAAAGTGTTTCTGCCCTGCCAACCCGCACAAAAATGGGTACGCTGGAGGCTCCACGCACCAAAAAAGCCCAAAGTGTAAAGAGGGAGTACAGACTTGGTCCCGAAAAATGTAGGATAGCTACCAGCTTCGCTTTATCGTAGCGTGTGGATTTTGGTAGCTTATGTTCCCAAGTACTTAACCGAGATTACAAAACAGCAAAGCAGATAAATCTGTCAGTAAGAATCATGAAATAGACCGACAGATACAAGTCAAACTGCCTGTGATATTAGAGTTACTGGGTGAAGGTTTGGTCTACCTAAAATATTATGGCGAGCCTTCTAGTATTCAATGACCTATACCAATATTGTGTTTGTCTGCTAGAGAACCGCTGTCTGACATGGTTGACACATAAACGATACCTTGCAAATAGTCTTCTTCTGTTTGGGAGCGGGGCCAAATTTACTTATGTTACTTGAGAAACGTAATTGCAAACAGTGGTGTGTTCGCGCGCGTGAAACCACCCAGCGAGCAATCGCGCGAAAGCTGGTCTGGCCCAAACTTGATCGATAATTGGTCTTATTCAGATTGGGTCCGCCGAATGGTAAGCTGGAGGTTGTGTTGACCACCCGTAGCTCCAGCAATAGCGGAAGCAGTGCGCACTGCCGGAACAAAGGGTCGTTGCGATCAGTCGATACAGTGACGAAGGATTGCAAGCGTGATGTGCTAAAGTGCTTCCAGCATGCGTGTACTGTCCAAGCATGATGTCGATCCACGTCGGGAATTAGGTTAAAAAACACAATACACCACTCACCATATCTTGAATGCGCATTAAGTAAGCGATGTTGTTCTATCCTCACCGCAGAACAGGCTTCGCAGATGCGGTTGATGGTCTGTAGGTGAGGCTTTCGTAGGAAGGAGATGCGGAAGCGCCCTGGAAATGTAACGGAATTGGCCGTCCGTATACACGCAAGTACATAGGAATAGTTAAAACAGTAAGCACACTTCACCCCATCTTGCTCGCGTCCAGCGAGTCGTCGATTTACGCGAACGAGGAGGAAAAGATAAAGTGACATTTTTATGGCCAATATGCCTTAATCCCCCCTTAACATTAAGTGCTTCTTATTCTGATAAACAGATCTAAGGGATATTAAGACAGCTATGCAAGATATGTAGTTAATGTTAACCACAGAAAAAGTATGTGGTTCAAAATGAGACTGACCCCACTCCACCAACCCCTACTAGCGCAGAGCAAAACCGCAACTCAGTCCAAGGCTCCTTTGCCATCATTGAGCTTTGATGATGCTTTAATTCCACGTCGAACGCTCTTATGCACATTGAGCTGAAACCTGGCATCGAAAGACCAGCTTGAAGTGATGACGATTGCTATGAAATGACCATCGACGAGTTTAGTCGTCCAGCATATTTGCACTATCGTGAAATTGATTGTCGTCACTAATTTAACGACCGACATGGTGGTGGCATCCTAAAATTTCACGAACTCTTCAGTCAAATGGAAGCACGAATGATGACTAGAACCGCGGATTTTCGCGCCATCAGACCGGTTACACGTGCTGGAGGTGACCCACAAAGTCTGTTCGATCCGTGCATCCAGCTATTTTATCTGGATTCCTTCCAGATATTCGGCACTCGATTCTGGTCATGGGTTCGTGCGACCAAATCCGTGAGTGTTACCGTTTGTAAAACGCGAATACCGCTGCAGACTTGCTGAATATACATAATTTGTGCTTCCGGCTTGCCTATTTAATAGTGAAGATTGGGCTCTCTCAGATATCAAAGATGCTCGTGAAATACGTGCGATGATTAGCTGAATCCACGACAAGAAGAAGGGAGAGAGGATATAGAGGATAGGTGGGGACGGAGTCTGAAGCGGGGTCCGTCGTTGGACCCGCGACGAACGCGAGAACAATATCACCATAGTCGCAAAGAATACGACTACGAACCTGCCTCGTTTTCTCGTTCGCCGGAGAGCCCAGCCATTTCACCAAAAGCTGCGTCCGACTGCGGACGTTCCTCACTGCCACCCCGTTCTCAACATAGTAGCATCGATTTCCGTGTCGATCAAGAGGAGAAAGAAGTGCCCGAAGAGGGCGTCTCTTTGCTTCTTCGTCTGATCTGGAATTGCAACTGACGCAAGTAAAAAAAATCCATGATGAACCGGCGGATGGTCATGGTGTTTGATCGCGTGTCATGGACGCGACACGCGTGAAGGATACTCGACAAGTCGTCTGCGACTTATGCGATCTCGCATGGAGTCATGAAAACTCGCCTGAGGATGCAGTTGAAAGTCTGATTCGGATTCGGCAACTAGAGCAGGCTCCACAAGTTCTTTCTCCTGCTGCGGCTGCTAACGCTGATGTGTGGAGCCTCCTACCAAGCGACTTCGCTCTGCTTCGGGTAAATAAACTTCTCCAAAAAAACAACGCAATCAGCAGCCATATGTTTCCTGTCGACGTTCCGACTCGTACGTTCGTTCGTTTGGTCCCGACGCTCAAGACAATCCTCTTGCATCTGAGAATGATGCTGTGGCGACGACGCCAAAGAGGTCCTTATTTTGCCCCTCGTGGGTCAGGAGTCATATTCGAATAAGACTGCGTTACATTCCGGTTGAAAGTCGCGTCATCGTAATGACAGGGATTGAGCTGCCTACGTAGAACGTTGGATGTGTCCTGAGCCAGTTGGCAATTCGATGATGTAAGCATTTCCATGGCATGACACTACACGGAATGGACTGATGAAGCGAGGTAATAGCACTGAGCTTGTCAAGTTTGAAAGAGCATCGTCTGATAGGTTTTAGGTACTAAGTAGTACATATTCCCAACAATAAAATATATTTTGCCTCGACAGATTTGTCTATCTGCGTATTCCTTTTTAGATCTTGCACATTCGCCATTGCATCTCACACTCGTGACATCACACTCGCACGACCCATGATGAATTAGTCTACGGCATTCTTGTACTTGCGCTTCACATTCCGCATCATTGATTGTAGTAATTTGAGAGGTAATGATTTGCCGAGCTCCTTCCCACTAACGCCAGAGACACCACACATCGCACATAGTGGTACTTGCGGGTGTCGCAAGTCATTTATAAAAATGGCTTATTTCCAGCGGATGATTTATAGCAAGCTCTATCAGTGGTAGCAACGAATTCCGTTCTGCAGGATTATCCGCGTAGAAGCTTCGCAACACATCACCGACCACTCGGTTGGCACGTTCTGTTTACCAATCGGTCTCCGGGTGTACCGCTGTGACATATCCTAGCGTATGCCAAGCGTTCGAGACAATTCTGTCCAAGGCAACTCGTGAATAGTGTACACAAACAGATGCGATGGCGTATGGCAACAAAGAATAATTTAGCCGAAGCAACGGAATAGTTACACGAAGCCATGCGAACCATCTTACTGAGACTATCAACGAAGACGAGCACTTCGTTGTGACCCTCATCATTTTCGGGAAAGCCAACGATACAGTCGAGACCGCCTGACTTCCAACAATCAGTAGGAACTGGGAGACTCTGCATTGGCACTTGCGTGTGCCGTGTGCCTTTCTCTTGCTGACAGACATCGCAATCGTGCAACCCACTTGAACATGCAGCGTCACACATTGGGGGGGATTGGTAGGTCTTATCACGGCCAAAGTGACCGGTAATCGTCGTATCATGCGCCTCGTACAAACCTTGTGCTTCAACGCATCGTTCCGTGGAGCCACAATCCGTACGACACCAGCTTCTTTAAGACCACATCCCTTTAGTCTGGCTTGATACCATTTGTGCAACTTCATAGTGAAATAGACCTTCCTTTCATGCATAACAATGTATCCTTGATTTCAAGCGATCAGGAAGCTTGTCATGGAGCTCCATGTCACTTAGTGAGAGTGCCTCGATGTTCGGTTCGCACTGTCTATCTAACAGACGCTCGTAGTATCATATCGAATACATCGTTTTCAATATAGCTAATATCCGCTAGCTTATAATTTGGTTGACTTTTCGACGCGTCAGCCGGCACGTTCAAATTTCCCGGTTTATACACAACCGTGAAGTTGTAGTCTGCAAAGAATGACAACTAGCGAGCAACCCGCTGTGATAAGTGAGGGGGATGAACTGCATAACGTAAGTTTGTGTGATCCAGGGAGACGGCAAGCAGACTTAAACCCATGAGGTGGACGTGGGTCTTCACCACAGTATAATTTATTGCAAAAAGCTTCCAGCCACGGACAAGGTAGTTGTTTTCTGCTTGCTTCAGCTGTCGCGATTGTAATGACACGACATGATCGTGTATATCTTAGTTCTTTTGCAAGAGTGCACAACCGATTGCAAACTCAGAAGCATCACACACCACGCTATACGACATCGTTTCATCTGGTATAGCAAGTAAGCTGTCCGTGATCTGAGTGAATACTTCTTCGCAGTGGATGACCACTCGAATGGTACGTCCTTCCTCACCAAGTTTGATAGCGGGTGAACCATGTCCGCGTAGTTACGCGAGAAACGATGCAGGTAGCTGAAAAAAACGCTTCAACTTCATCAATTCTTTTTGATTCCGAGGCGTCGGCTACTGCACAGTTGCTTTGACCTTCTCTGGGTCTGCACGATCGCTGCGTTCACCGACAAAACAACCAAGTTCCGGTACTTCATTCACCAAAAGCAAGATTCGCTGGCTATGAATTTTCACACATACATTTCAACTCCATACGGAGGTGCTCCAAGTGCACTTTATGGCAGATCGACCATCTTCGTTTTTCGAAAAAGCAAAAATGTGGGTAAAATAAGTTTGTGCAAAGCGTCGCAGTAACCGAAACAGATGGGAAACCAATCGATCGAACGTTGCTAGGACATTGAATAGTCCTTGTGGTATCACAAGCCACTCTCATAACATATTGGATGGTGTATTAACAGCAGTCAACGAGACATCATCCTCATTAGTGAACCAAATCCAATTTTTGTGTACAGCCGGACATACGGTGGTTGATCACATTCTTTAGTGAAACCGGCGTTTGAGCGGAAATTGTCGCGCATTTAACTTGTTGTAGGCGTGATCAATGCAGCTTCTCCCATTTGGTTTGCGCACACTAAAAGTCGGCGCGTTGTGAGGGGACTGGCTTTCCTCACCAAACCAGCAGATGGCTGTTGAGCAAAGAACCCATCAATATACTAACGAACTTCACGCGACAGTGGCCACTGTAGAAGCACTGTATGCTTTGAACCAGGTTCACGATCGATTTCATGTCGAACTTCACGTTCGGGTGGGAAACAAAAGGGTGGCTCCGCTTTAAGGACGTCATCTTTGTATTCCATGACAAGTGTAAATTATGGATCACCTGGATCCCTCAGAGTAGCAGATCCTCAGCGTATTTCCAAACGCTGTCAAAATTCTTCAAGATCCGAATCATCCATAACTGATAATAAGGGGGAGTTCCGCTGAATCGACCTTCGACAGTAGCAACACGACCTCCGAAATACCATCACACTTGAGGCCGTTTAGGAAGCTATCATTAGTGACTTCCTAAAGCTGCACCACCTCTTTCGTCGTCAGAAATATTTCTAAAAGAATATCTGATCTGGTAACTTTACAATCCGTTTCATCCACAATACCTGGACCAGCATCTTCTCATGCTACAGTTCCATCGTGGGAATAGTATGCTGGACTAACTCATAGGCGGACTCAACCGCATCCAGAGCGGGAGTATCAGTACCGCTATCAACAAATCCGGTGATTCCTTCACATATGTGTGCTCAACCACACAACCGATGGGAACTGCACCTTTGTGTGTTGTCAATCATACCCATTGATCCGCAATCCGGCCTGGCCACTGTGTTAGTGGAAAGAGTGGCATATACAGCCGCAGTCGACCCCTTCGACTTTCCAGTACAGACATGTTGAAAACATCCCTCTGTCTTGAGAGGGGGGGCAACAACCGCAATCTTTCCCTCATAATTTCTTTCCGTTAGGCAAATCGTCATACCACCGACGGTCATTCGTTTTAAGTGGTCAGTTCCGAGCAGTTGACACACTCCATGAGTGATAATAGTAGTTACTCCATACGCAACATACGACTGTCAAGCGCTTGAACGATTCTTCCAGTATCTGGGGAATGTGGGCTCATTACGCCCAGGGGTTTTACCTACGCTAGGAGGGCTACTCTCAATCGTTTTTGATCGCAATTAAACCATGGCACTTGCTTCTCAAGCCACGGTATACCTAAAATCAGATCATACTTTTTGTCCATCTCGAGGATATGAATACATTCTTCGAGTTGAAGTCTTCGAGCTTCAGTTGAAGATTAACTATAATTTTATTTGCGTTGACCACCGCGCCAGTGGCCAACTTCACTCAAATAGAGTCGTTGCTTTTATCTAGTGCATCTAAAAGCACTGTGCCATTTACAGCAACACTTTGCTTCCGCACGTTGTTACGCGACGCACCAGAGTCAATCAAACTCTAAATGGACGACCATAGCTCTTACACTCGCTGTGACCACGAGGAGACCTCTCCGACATGTGATGTTAACGACGGACGGCGATTCTTCAAGGTCTAAACTCTCGTGTGTGATTCTACCACGAAACCCACAAGAGTTTATAATGGCCCGGAAGACCTTCCTGCGTCTACTGGATTCAGGCGTTTCCCAAACGCCTCGTTGTATTGGTACCACGCGACTCGGGACCATTACGATGAGAACGTGAACAATCACGGCGGATATGACCGAATCGTGAAAATTCGTAATAGCGATTTTGCTGACCATGGAAAGTCACCGTGCTAAGATCCATGAATTTCCGGAATTCCGGTACAGTAGTCACTGCTTCCAAGGTGTTTACCGGTTGACCAAATGCTTGACGATGACAGTAGTCCCCTCGCAATGCAGTCATTATTGCATCTTTTAGAGTCGTCGATCCTGGCCGAAGCTTTCAGTCTTAGGAGGACTATAAGCAATTTTCTCCATAAAAACAGTGGCCATCACTGCCGCTAGTATTGGTTCGCTTGCCATGCTGGCACGAAGCACACGGAGCTTCTGTACATAGTCGTGCAGTGTGCTGCTGTCTTGACGGCACGAAGATAAAATCGACCGTTGTCGAAATGCCACGTTCGACAGAAGGAACATCGATTCCATGGCCATTTTCAAGTCTTGTCGTTTGGCAAAGTAGCTAGGGCGCTTAACTTCCCATGTCATCGCCCAACTTTTGCGCGGCTATCCAAGGCCACTTGACTGCGGCATTCACAATCTTAAGCCATCGAAATAGCGATGCTCATTGCTGCCGGAACGGAAGACTGTCATCTTTGTCCCCGTTGAAACTTTTCATCTAGATTTTCACGGGACGTTTCGTGTGTACCGACGGTGTAACCACCACTTGTGGTGGAGGTGACGGAGCTGGCGTCGGTATGTTCTGGGATAGAAAGCCCAATAACCCTTGCTTATACGCAACAAATTTTTTGAAGCGTTTAGTTGTCGCTTCTCGATCCAATTGGAGAATATTGAGGACCGCGTGACTTCAGCTTAAATCTCGCAGCTCCACCGAGCACTTTCATTGCGAGTGTACTAGAAACGAATATTCCTCACTGTTGATGCGAGGGCAACCATCGCCTGTGGTATCCAAATTATCCATAGATGAATCCATCAGAGAAGTCGGCGTTGGAATGATCAACAAAAGCTACCAAGTGTAACGGAAAATGCCCGTCCGTATCAAGGCCATTCTGAGGGGGACTTAAACCAGTTGACACGCTTCACCTCATGTTGCTCGCTTTTAGCGAGCTGTTGATTTACATGAACGAGGAGACAGTTACTCAATCCATGGATCATGGCATTTCAGCCACGCCGTTCCTAGGACAAGACTATTTCAAAAACGTGACAGGGTTTGTGCTATATTATGTATTCAAGTTTCACAGAAAGGTCAACGAGCTTTTGACACGTTAGCAAGAAGTCCAGCTGCGTATCACACAAATAACGTATATCTCAAATGCATTCGCGTACGATGAGCTTTTTCGACAGTCGTACATGTTTGCTCGCCGCTTGTAAACAATCAATCAGCTTCTCACGGCTTCACAAAAATTGGAGCGTTGAACAAACCTGGGGTGTAAGTTTTTTTCTCTTAATGAGATGCTCTTCTCTTAGAGCTAGGAATCATTGATGTTAATTGTTTCTATGTTAGATCACAGTTGATTGACAGTAAGCTATTCTGCAGTTCTGGTATTTTATTTTGTTAGCACAGAGCTTGTCGGACGCCCCCGCAAAAATTCCTCTTCATAATCTCAGCCAAGATAAGATTGATTGTGTCGCAGATACAATGTTTCTGAGTACTGCCTTACGGCTCGGCATCTGGTAAGTCTTTCACCGCATGGCTAGTATCTATCGCCTTTGGTAGCTCAGAGAGTTTCTATCTCCCATACCCAACCGGCCCACGCAACACGAAACATTTATTGCACATTTCATACAAAATTCACTGCGCTCTTGGAAGAGGTCAGGAGGGTGGAAGCTGTCGATGATAGCTGCAACTGCTCGAAACTCTTCATATAAACTGTGATTGTTATCACCGAATGAACAAAACTCTGTTGCTATCGTAGCGATGAGAGCACGCGCCTCTCGGTGCCAGTTCTGCTTTATTTCGCTGCCCGTGACTTTTTAACAGTAGGCCTTTTAAGGCGATGTGAGTATCAGCGATATTCGCCACTTTGACACTTTCCATGTCGGTTATATCTTTTCTATATAGTAAGAGCATATTATCCCGTGCAACTTC